CTGATGATTGAAATACATCCAGCTTCATAGGCGCTGGGTTTCATGTCCATGTTTACTGATCCAAACAGTGTACTAGCATCAAGGAAAGCCCCTTCATTTCCCTGCAGTTATCTTGACCACTCCTTCTCTTCCATCCTCTTTCCCTCAGATCTTTGATTTGGATGACACAATTTTGACTTTTTTTTTTTGGTATTCTCCAAAAAGAAGAGAATAAAATTTTCCAATATATTATTTTAAAATTAATTCTTTTGATATTTTTCATCATGAAGAATTCAAGAGCATGCTGTGTAAACACAGAAGCTATGAAAAGAAAAGAACTAGGAAGGTGGCTACAGATCTTTCAAGTAACTGTCTCCTCTGGGATGTTAAACTAGGCATGGTTTTATAAGAAGTGTGGAAATAAAAAAATGGTCATGCTGGTGCACTGGAAACAAAATAAATAAGAGAATTTTATTAAATTACTGTAGACATATACAGTGACAATCAAATGTAAAATTAGATATAATGTCTGCCCACCTCAATCACAATGAAACACAAGACAAAGGTATAAAGTGCTTTATAAATCACCATGAAAAGGCATTAAGACTTAGGAATGGAGTAAACAGCCTGGATCCTTGCTTGTACATCACACAAACAAGGGACTCTGTACAAAAGAACATGTGCACAAAGATAACAGAAGACATTCTGTTGCGGAGTCTCTTTCTTCAGCCTTGGCATGTGGAAAAGCTAAGGTTTTCCTTGTCAATCCAGGTGAAAGGCTAGGAGGGAAGGGATGCTCTGGGAGCTCCTGAGAAGGCATCTGAATCTCAACACCCCTGGAAAACAACATCTTAAGAGGCCAGCGTAATGATGAGAACTGGCAGGACTCAAGTGTTTAAGCACAGCTCATGGGCCTTTACCTTCAAAAGATAGGGGTCTAGGGTCGAGGTACTCTACTGGAATTTCCAAAAACAACATGTAATTTTGCAAATGCAGCATCAAAGTCAGGTTTATACTCAAGAGAAAACAGGAAAAAAGAGAAACAAAAACAAAAAACAAGTTCCAGACATGATATTCTGTCATATAGAATTAATAATAAAGTCACCCTTTAATACTAAGTTAACCCAGTATATCCTAGAGAACCCATGGTTCACATTTTGAGAAAGACAAAATAAATCAAATTTAAACTATCATAAAGCAAGTACTCAATGCTGGTTGTCTAAATGTAGACATAGTACATGTTTAGTATGTACTAAGTCTCATGAAAGATACCAAGAGGCTACAGAAAAGATGATCTAGAAACCAACAAGACATAGTGCCTGACCTCTGGGAACTTCAAATTTGTTCTGGCTGCTACATAAGAAATAATATATTAAATAAAAATAGTAAAGTACACAGCAGGCAAGTAATGTGTTACCACTTCTGTGAAAAAGAGAAAGAAAAAATATATACGTTGTGTATGTGTGTGTATACATAGACACATATATGCATACATATGTCCATGTACATTCAGAGAATATCTTCAGAAGAAAAATAAACAGAAGGCAAGAGTTGTTTCTTCTAGAAAGGGAAACTGGATGAATCAAGAATGGAATGGAGACTTTTTTAATGTCTCCTAATGGATTCTCTAAATTTTGAATCATAGTAAGCTATAAATTCAAAATTCAATTGCATTTATTTTTTTTTATTTTATTTTTTTTTATCCTCACCTGAGGATATTTTTCCATTTTTTGTACAGATAGAGTGGGAGGGAGAGAGAGGAAGGAGAGAGAGAGAAACATCGACGTGAAGGGACACATCGAGTGGCTGCCACCCGCACGACCAACCAGGGCCGGGGACAAACTGCAACCGAAGTACGTGCCCTTAGCAGGAACCAAACCCGGGTCTCTCCGGACCGCAGGCCGATGCTCTAACCGCTGAGCCAAACTGGCCAGGGCGTCAATTGCATTTAAATAAGAAAGAACTGCTAAATAATACCAGACACTATATAAATAAGCATCTGATTGCACAACAAAGACAAATATATCAGGAGTAATTATAATGATAGAAAAGAAATTCAAGAGTTATTTTCTGCAGTTTATAAAAATATTGACATCTTAAAAAACAAAGATAAAAATGCTCTCAACTTCTCATAAACTGAAATTGTTTTGGTTATTTTTTTTATTATTTTTTTTCTTTATTGATTTTAGAGAGAGAAGAGGACAGAGGGTGAGAGAGATAGAAACATCAATGAGAAAAACTATTGACTGGCCACCACCTGCATGCCCCCCAATGGGGATTTGGCCCACAACCTGGGCATGTACCCTGACCGAGAATTGAACCTACGACTTCTTGGTGCATGGGTCAATACTCAACGACTGAGCAACACTGGCCGGGCTATTGTTTTGATTATTAAAATAAAGGGACAATTTTTAATTGACCAGGAATACATTGACTGGCTACCCAGAGTACCTCTCCGTTTGGCAGCCCTTCTAGACTTTCTCCCTCAGACACTCATTCTCCTCCAACACCTTATGCTGTGACACTGCATTAAGTATAATAATAAATTTTCTTATCAATCTCCCCATTATGCTATCAGCTCCTGTGAGGGAGATACTTTATCTTGCTCACATCTGTAGACTCACTGCCTGGCACAGTGATTGACATGCAAGAGCATTTCCTAAATGTTTGTTGAATAGATGAATTTCTTAAAGTATAACGGCTATAAATTGTACTCTAAAAGGACAGTGGGTGGCAGTCCTGGAAATCTGAGGTCTGCTATTTACCACTCTCTCAACTGTGAAATAAGTAAAAATTGAATTTTCCACAACACAGTTATTAGAGGGATTAAATGGAACTATGTATGTAGGATACCACATAGTTATAAAGCTGATATTTAAATGCAACAGATACTATGGCAACGTATCTTACCTTGAGGTCTGAGAATAAGATTATTTATGTCATCTAAGGTATCAATGAGGTAAATAAGGTAATATCCAATACAAACCAATTATTTGTTCTATGTGCTTCCTATGCAACAATAATTATTGAACATACGAATCCCCTTACAAATACTATACATTTTCCTAGACACATACAAGTCATTAAGCAGCAAGTTTAGTTGGGTGACAAAATGTTAACTTCTACAATATATCTTCAAAAGAAACAATTCACAACCACACTCACATGATAAGACCCCACAGACTCGAAATAAATAGGAATAACTTATACTTAAATGCTGTTGCAACATCAGGACTTTCAATTATGCAGAAGACAAATCAAGACATTGAGTGAAGATGCATATAGACCAGTGGAACAGAACAGAGACCCCAGAAATCGACCCACACCATTATGGTCAATTAATATTTGACAAAGGAGGTAAGAGCATACTATGGAGTAAAGACGATCTCTTCAACAAATGGTGCTGGGAAAACTAAACAGGCACATGCAAAAAGATGAAACTAGATAACCAACTTACACCATACACAAGAATAAACTCAAAATAAATAAAATACTTAAATGTAACCTGTGAAACCATAAAAATCCTAGAAGAAAACATAAGCAGTAAAGCCTAAGATAGCTGACATAGCAGAATTTTCACCGATACATTTCCTAGGGCAAGAGAAACAAGGAAAAAGTAAACAAATGGGACTGTGTCAAACTGAACAGCTTCTGCACAGCAAAAGAAACCACCATCAAAATGGAAAGGGAACCCAGTGTATGGGAGAACATATTTGCCAATGATACATCTGATAAGAGGTTAATTTTCAATATATATAAAGAACCCATACAACTCAACAAAAAGAAGATAAACAATCCAATTTAAAAATGGGCAAAGGACCTGAGCAGACATTTCTCCAAAGAGGACATACAGATGGCCAAGAGACATATGAAAAAATGCTCAAAGTCACTAATCATCAGAGAAATGCAAATTAAAACCACAATGAGATATCACTTCACACCTATCAGAATGGCTGCCATCAACAAATCAACAAGCAAGTACTGCTGAGGGTGTGAAGAAAAGGCAACCTGAGTACACTGTTGGTGGGAATGCAGACTGGTGCAGGCACTATGGAAAACAGTATGGAGTTTCCTCAAAAAAATAAAAATGAAATTGCTGTTTGACCCAGTGATCCCACTTCTGGGAATATATCCTAAAAACCCTGAAACAGCCCTGGCCGGTTTGGCTTAGCAGTTAGAGCGTCGTCCTGTGGTCCAGAGAGACCCGGGTTTGGTTCCCGCTAAGGACATGTTGCAGTTAGTCCCCGGCCCTGGTTGGGTTGTGCGTGTGGCAGCCACTCGATGTGTACCTTTCACATCGATGTTCCTCTCTCTCTCTCTCTCTCTCTCTCTCTCCCTCCCACTCTATCTGAACAAAAAATGGGAAAATCTCCTCAGGTGAGGATAAAAAAGAACAAACAAAAACCCTGAAACACCAATCAGAAAGAATATATGTACCCCTATGTTCATAGCAGTGTTATTTATAATAGCTAAGATTTGGAAACAGCCCAAGTGTCCATCAGTAGATGAAATGATAAAAAAGTGGTGGTACATTTACACAATGGAATATTATGCAGCTGTAAAAAAGGACCTCTTACCCTTTGATACACCATGGATGGACCTGGAGATTATTATGCTAAGCAAAATAAGCTAGTCAGAGAAAGACAAGTACCATATGATCTCTCTTGTTTGTGGTATATAATGAAAAGAATAAATTGACTAAGAAAACAAGTCACAAGGCATGGCAGCATGGAACAGACTGACATATCTCAGAGATGGGGGGGGGGGGCAAGAAGAGATAAACCTAAAAACTTATATACTTTTATGCATAGCCCACGGACACAGACAATAGTGTGGTGAAGGCCTGGGGGTGGGTAGGGACTGGGTGGAAGGTGGTAAAAAGGGTGGGGGGAGGGTGACCTAAGAGGTAAGGGGAAGGGGGGCATCTGTAATACTGTCAACAATAAAAAAATATATATTAAAATATGATTAAAGATTAAATAAATAAAATCTGATTGGTATTATAACTAAAAAAAAAAAAAAACAGTGAAGGCAAAGGGCACTTTTGCAGGAATTGACCATTAAATCAGGGAATCTCAACTTGTTTTCTTAGGATGAGTGATGGACAATTTGCACGGAGGCTCATCATACAGAAGTGTCCTTTCTCCCTTTCATATGCACTGATGAGTCTCCCAGTCATTTTGAAGCATTGAGGTTTCCTTCCACGCTATGCTTTCCAACTCCATCGTTCCTTGTTCTCGTCTCCTTTTCCAGCTTCCAGCTTCAGTGCTTGAGCCTTCTGTCTACGTTGTCTGCAGCGCACTGGCCCAGTGAGCACCTTTGGTGATGCTCAGCCCTGACAAACTCGAACCACAGGCTGAGAATCCCTGAGTTAAGATCAGAAGTTTCAATGCCAGATTACGTCTCCTCCAACTGTGTATCTGGAGAGTAATAATGAGAAGCACTTTATATTTTCTGGATAACATAATACATTTGCAAGAAGATAAAGAAGCAGATTATATTTTTGCCCAAATACCTTTGCTTGATAAAGGGTGACCAATCAGCCCAGTTTGCCCAGGACTGTCCTGAGAGTCCATGTCCTGAGAAACCCCTTAGTCCTGGGCAAATTGGGATGGTTGATCATCCTAGGATGACTCAAACAACATTCACTGATTAGCTTTACAGCACAGAGGAGTGTTATGAAACCACTTAATGAAACCTGCCTGAGTTTGTCCAAGCCGATTAGACTACTTTAAACTTGGGCTTCTTGTGAAGTTTGGGTTCCACCCACATTAAAAAGAATTGAAAATCTTAATATAAATTTCTTCTTAGTTCAATAAGTTGAATGAGGTCTTTCTGACCTTTCATAAATGTAGACATTTAAAGTGGAATCAAGCCCATAGGTGAAGAATAAGGTTTCATGGTCAAGCCAGAGGGCCTCAAGGCCTGTTTTTTGTCACTTATCAGCTGTATGTTTTGGGGCAATTTATTTGATCTCCGTGGCCCTGTTTTCTCTAATATAAAATGGAGATAATCCTAGTATTAACTCCTTGATTTGAGGGGTGGGAGGGAAGTAAAGGAGGTACTGTACATGAAGCAGTGAACACAGTTCTTGATATACAACTTCTGTTGATCGAGCTATCTACATAAGCCAACTTGGTCCCCCATTGCAGGGAGGTTAGGACACAGAGCAATAGAAACTGTCTTCTCCCCAGCTCAACACACACACAAAACTGCTAGTCATTCTTTTTGTGGTTATTCCTCACCTGCAGACATCATTTTTCCATTGATTTTTTTCCCTTTTTTTTAGATAGAGTGAAATGGAAGGAGGGAGGGAAAGAGAGAGAGAGAGAGAGAGAGAGAGAGAGAGAGAGAAAGATCAGTGTGAGAGAGACACATCAATTGGCTACCTCCCTCACGAGCCTGGGGCCAGGGATCGAACCTGCTACCCAGGTATGTGCCCTTGACTGGGAATTGAACCCATGACCCTTTGGTCCTTGGGCAGATGCTCTAATTGCTGAGCCAAATTGGCCAGGGCTGCTAGTCATTCTTTACTTTCCAGGGCCATCCCTAAACCTTCTGATTGTGGGAGGAGAGGAGTTCTTATATTAGAGTTGTGAGGCAAAAAGAACCAGCAGTTCCAACAGCTAGCATCCTTTAAAAAGAAGAGGGATTATGGCTGATAGATTTCTCTTTGATATCACTTTAGCTTTTTGTTCCCTTTCCTTCAGCGTCTACACCCCTGCTAATATTCTTACCATTTTGTTTCTTTGAGTTCCTGTCTCGAGTGACACATTTTTCCACATCTGTCACTGTAACTTGAAAAAAAAAAAAGCATTTTTTATTTCCACAAAACACAACTCTACATCTCACACAGTGACTTAAGTTTAAATTCCAGGTTCCTATGAAACATTTTTAATCCCCTAGGACATCTGGTAGACTTCCTTCTTCCACAGATCTCAACCCCTAAGGTTAATTCAACAGTTTAGGGCACGTGATTTTGCTCCTAGATTTTCTTTAGAAATATATACTTTTATTCTTCATCCTTCCCTCAGAGATGGACCGTATTCTGAGATACTTTACAATGCATTGGTTTTCTAGCCATTCCTGATGCCAACTAATTAATTTTCACAGGAAGACATTCAAAATCCAAGTTCGTAATAGCCACTTCCTTGGACAAATTAACTCCATCTCAAGATCTTCCTGTCATTGAAACTTGCTCCCTATATTCTGGCTGTTCATGTTCTGTTAAGAATTTAGTCTTTAGAATCAGCAACCTCCACTCCCTCAATTATACTACTTTCCCAGATCCACCCACCCTCTTACAGAGTTGTGGGGAATTTCTTAACAACTACTGGAATTCCCTCCCATTTTCTACTTCCTTATTGACATCAGATAACTGTGAAAACCATCACTGGATCCTTTGGTATACTTCTCAAAGAACTGGAGAAATGTTATCTCTGAGTCATCTTAAGTTGAGAAGAAACTACATGAATGGACTCATTTTCCTGCATTTTAATCATTGCCACAGGTAAACAGAGAGATACGCTCATGGAAACATCCACTGCTGCCCTCCCACGAAGGTGGGGCTGCTAGACAGCAAAATGAGCAGGACTGCAGGAAAAGGTGATACACAGGGTCACACAGTGGCAAAGCTAAAATCAACTTTGCATAATTGAAAATAAACCCTGAAAGAAAAGACTGATAGGAAGACAGCATTTTATAAATCAGTGCATCCTGGTGAGAGCACTGCTAGCATTTGGGGTAGGACTGTTCCCTGTTCTGTGGGGCTGCCCTGCACATTTCAGCAGATTTAGCATCCTTGGCTCTGCCTAGTGGGACAACAGTAGCACCCTATACACCTCCCCACATCCCCAGCGGAGACCCTTGCAATAAAGGAAATACCATCTCTTTGTAGACAGAAGACCACTGCCAGGGCTACAAGGAACAACAGGACAGATCCCAGAACTGCCAAGTGAGTCCTTGGATTTCCTGGAACTATAGGTGGTTCTGAAAAATAAATGAATGAATGAATAAATAGACTAAAGATAAAATTTTGATGGGAAGGGGTCAAGAGAATAATCATCCTTGAAAATAATTGAGTTTAACTCTAGGTTAATTTTCTTAAATAGCAAAAGTTCCTGGCTAGCGAGTGGCTGGAATGGTGAGAGACCTCCAATGTGAAGATGAGAGCAGCATGAAAAAGCGGGGGAAGCCCAGGCTCTGGACAGATGGACCTTGGTTTAATTCTGCCACTCACGAGCTTTGCCCTCTCTGACAAGTCCTTTAACCAGACTAGAAGATGGAAACAATACTTCTGCTCGACCAATGTTTGTCAAGTGCTTGGCACAGCACCCTGGGGAGTGGCTGCTCAATACTAAATGGCAGCCTCGACTATTTCACTTTCTCTTATATTCTTTTTTTTATATATATAATTTTTATTTCTTTTTTTTTTTTCATTTATCTTTAGATAGAGCAGGAGGGAGAGGGGTGTGGAGAGAGAGAGAGAAACATTGATGTGAGAGAGACACAGTGACTGGTTGCCACCCACACGACCCCAGCTGGGGCCGGAGACAAAATGCAACCGAGGTATGTGCCCTTAGTGGGAACCGAACCCGGGACTTTCTGGTCCGCGGGCTGACACTATAACCACGGAGCCAAACTGACCAGGGCTCTCTTATATTCTTTAATACAGAAGTTAATAGCCCACTGTACATGGCAAAGATGGAATTTGAAGGCCAGCTAATACTGCCAAAGAATGCCTGTCTCCCAATTTCCATGGTCATGATCAGGGGCCAGTGTTTGTTATCTTTCCTTTCTCCACAGTCTGAATCTCAGGATGTCTAACCATTGGTACCTCTCACCAGTCTCCCAGTCTGTCTGTCTGTGGTCTCATGCAGGATGAAAAAGGGATCTCATGACACATGATGCTTAGAGACTGCTAACCTCCCACCACTAGCCTTGATCTCTGACTACCTTGTTCAAGTTTTAAAGCCACAATAGCAGTCAGCCTTCAGCTAGTAGCTTACAGTCTACAAAGCCTGTTCATATCTATTTTACTTGAATTTCAAAATAAGTTTATGACTTAGGTGTGTCAGGTATCAAAAAACAAAAAAATCCCAGGTTACAGATGAGGAAACTCCAAGCAATTAGGTGAGTTATCCTAAGTCATCCCACAAATAAGTTGTCATAAAACAGCTAATAAAAGCCTGTTCATATCTATTTTATTTGAATTTCAAAATAAGTTTATGACTTAGGTGTGTCAGGTATCAAAAAACAAAAAAATCCCAGGTTACAGATGAGGAAACTCCAAGCAATTAGGTGAGTTATCCTAAGTCATCCCACAAATAAGTTGTCATAAAACAGCTATTAAATGGCAGGAACCCACTAATACAGATCCTCCCAAAGTGACTCATACTTCAGCAAGGGCATCTCTTTCAATTTCTAAGCTTTCTTTTTCCTCTTTTTATTCATCGGACGGTCCTGGATTGTCCTATTGCTTGACTTTTCTACCCATTTTTAATTGTTTTCTCTGAAGTACCTAAAGCTTTACTGTCAACACCTAGTGAGGGAGAGGGTAGTGAGAAGTGCTGCTCAGAACACCTGTGGTTCTATATTAACATCATGCTCCCCCACCTCGCTGTTTCTAAAGGTCTGAGCCCTTCACCAGACTGTATCCTGTGTTACCCACTTTACCCATTTCTGTACAGGCAAGAGTCTCAGATCATTGTCAGACAATATAGCTCATTTACTCCTATGATAATCTTGCCCAACAGGTTATAACCTTATAGGGAAAGTAAAGCATGTAGAGGCTGAGTTACTTGCCCAGGGACACCCAGCCTTATTATGTCCTATACACTAAGCAGACTGCCCTGAGTTGGACTGTCATAGACTACCTCAGGGGAGGCAGACGGCTAGGAAGGACCTCTCCCATTTGGAATAAAATAGGAGTATTCCATTTGCTTCTTGCCATAAAAACCCTGGAAAGAAAGGAGTTGCTCTATAAACTCAGATTTGGATTCCTGAATCATAGCATGAGTTGATTATTCCTCTCAGGTGCTCCCCCAGGTCCCCCAGTCACAAGAGCATTTCCTGCATGGATGAGACTACCTGTTTTCTTATCTGTTTCTTGAAGATCGTGAACCATCTTATTCTTCTATGAGCTCCCAAATGCTTGGCACATAGGCCATATTCAATAACTATTTGTTGACATATAAATATTAAATAAATAGCCCTGGCCGGTTTGGCTCAGCAGTTTGAGCATCGGCCTGCAGTCCAGAGAGACCCGGGTTCGGTTCCTGCTAGGGACGCGTACCTCGGTTGCAGTTTGTCCCTGGGCCTGGTTGGTCGTGTGGGTGGCGGCCACTCGATGTGTCCCTTTCACATCGATGTTTCTCTCTCTCTCTCTTTCTCTCTCCCTCCCACTCTATCTGAACAAAAAATGGAAAAAAATGTCCTCAGGTGAGGATAAAAAAAATTAAAAAATAAATAAATATTAAATAAATAAATAATAAATATAGCACTATGATTTGGATGAATGGAGATGAAGAAGTAGGATGCATTTTATAAATATAGAGCTATTCATTCAACAAACAATGAATGCCTACGATGAGCAGGTATCATGCTTGGTGCCAGGAGATAGCACTAGGCACATTTTAATTGAGACATTCAGAATATTACCTGGGATGACCAACTTAGCTGTACTGTTTTCCTCAAGACCTGATCTCCGAAAAGTGCAGTAGAAAATCTCATTAGTTGTTGTGTTGATTCTAAGTATACTGGTCACATTGAGAAGTTTCTCATCTCTGTCAGAACTAGTGATGGTGGTTTTGCCATTCAGGACTCGGTGGTCACTGCTTGTCCAGGTGACTTCAGCCTCAGGGTAACCCTCAGCCTGACATGTTAGTTCATGTTCAGAGGTGTCTGGATCCACAGAAATTCTTTGGTTGATTTTACGGTATGGGGCTAGGGTATGGGCAAAAAGAAGAAAAGTCAGGGCGTTCACTTAGCACAGAACTAGACATGTGGTTTGGTGGTGCTCACATTAGAAAGAATATACATCCAGGCTGGTTCTCACGGAAATCAGCTTAATGTTCAGATGTCTCAGCAGTGGAGAACCCCTGTTAGTTCTGCTTCAACTCTTCTATTCATACTTGGGCCAAGTTTGGGCTTAAAGGAACCACTATCTTGCTATAAATATCATATTGCTATTTTTATTGGGCTCAAAGTAAATATAAAGACTAATTTTTTAAATTGTCATCTTTAAACCAGTGGTCCTTCTATTCAAATAAAAACTACACCTGTCCATTTATTCAAGTCTTCATGTGTTTCTCAGTAAAGTTTTATAGTTTTTACATAGAACGCATTTCTTCTTAAATTTATTCTTGGATATTTTGTTTTTGTTGTTATAATGTTGTCTTCATAAACATGAACCTCTCCAGATGGCAAGCACTGTTTCTTAGACTACTGACTAAACAAACAAAAAATCTGATCCTGATGTGCCATTCACTTTTCAACGTTAGGTCAATGATCAGAAATTAGGTATGAAAATAGTATGATGTTGTAAAAACTGACACATGTTCCTGGATGAAACTTTAAAAAATCTAAATATTTCAAAAAATAGTTTTAGATTTACAGAAAAGTTGCAAAGATAGTAAGAGTTCTCCGGACCGCAGGCCAACACTCTAACCGCTGAGCCAAACTGGCCAGGGCGTAAGAGTTCTTATATACTTCTCGCCCAGCTTCCCCCACTGTTAACATCTTACTTTACCAGGGTACATTTTTTATAACTAGGAACCAACATTGGTACGATACCATTAATAAACTTCACACTTTGTTCCATTTCCATTTCACTAGTTTTTCCCTAATGTCCTTTTTCTGTTGTAGGATCTCATCCAGAATACTACATTATAATACTTATTTTTTTAAAGTTTGTTTATGCTGGCTATTTTAATAAATCATTTAAATAATTATATGCAAGGAAGAAAGTTTGATTAAATTATAGATCATTGGTTTGGCTCCCTTTTAGGGTTAAGATACCCAGTGTACTATTATTTAGTGCATTTATCACCTAAGATATTTATTCATGTTTATTCATTACAAGCATGTTAACATCTTGTTATTCTGTTTGTATGATCTTTCTTTTACTCCTATAATACTACTGGTCCACCTAGAGCCTTAATTCTGTATTTTTTTCATGAAGTCATAACAATGGCTTTGTGATATGAGATATATATATATATATATATATATATATATATATATTCCTCACCTGAGTACATTCTTGCATTTATCTTGAGATAGAGCAGTAGGGAGATGGGGAGGAAGAGAGACAGAGAAACATTGATGTGAGAGAGACACATCGAGTGGTCGCCACCCACACAACCCCAACCGGGGCTGGGGACAAACTGCAACTGAGGTATGTGTCCTTAGTGGGAACCAAACCTGGGCCTCTCTGGTCTGTGGGCTAAAGCTCTAACCTCTGAGCCTAACTGTCCAGGGCGAGACATGATATATTTACAGAGATTTAATATAGCCAGGAATAAGCAAAACTGAAATAATGATGTTATATTTTTATACTTTCAAAAAATTTTTTTTCCTTTATTGATTTTTTTAGACAGGGGGAGAGAGATAGAAACATCAATGAGAGAGAACAACAATTGGCAACCTACTGCATGCCCCTCACTGGGTGTTTGGCCCACAACCTGGGCATGTGCCCTGACTGGGAATTGAACCAGTGACCTCTTGGTGCAAGGGTTGATGCTCAACACTGAGCCACATTGGCTGGGCTATTTTTGTGCTCTTAAATGAATAAAACCACAAATGAAAACATTGAAAATCAACATAATGACAATTTGAAAGCACATAAATATTGTTTTCATGAGTACTTGAATCCTCAATCTTATATCTGTTATGTTGAAGAATCATCAAAAATAACAAATCTACTAATTATACTTCATAAAATAACATTACCATAACAGGGTCTAGTTCATATAGCACATAGCTTGATTTCTGGGCAATTAAAATGTCAAGCCTAAAATCACAGTTAATGGTAAAGAGTTAAAGGTAAAATGTTTGCTTGTTTACTCTTCCATTATCATTTTTAATGGTATAAGAATAAAGGAGAATGTTGTTTCATGCCTAGGCATATGTATAAATGTGGTACACCTATAAGGGTCCAATAAATGAGTGGATTCATTCTACTCATTGATTAAATATCCCCTACATTAGTCTCTAAAGTGAGGCATATGTATTGGGACATAGAAAGAAAATATTAGAACTTCCACTTATATGTGTTTTTATTGTAACAATTAAGAAATAATCTAAACTTATAAGCTTTACTGATTGACACTGGGCCTCACTTTGTGTGACACAGTAGGTCTTGTGGGAAGAGAGGAGTTTGTAATACCAAAGGGAGGGCAGTGACTTGTTTGGGCTTATTACTGATTTTCAGATTCTCTTATCTGGTTTTAACTTAACTAACCTGCCTGCAAAATAAAAAACTAATTGAAAAGTTCCCGACAAAGAAACTGAGGATTGAAGATAGTACTAATAATTCAAGCATAAAGCAAAAGGAAATAGCAGGAGTAACACTTTTTATCATCACTTTATGAAGTTAAACCAGTAAGTACCTAATTGAAACTGAAAGGTATTGGTTAAAATGAAACCTCAAGGTTGTCAAGACCATCCACCTTTATTAATGATGAATTTCATCTAAGATATGTTATGCCTTAAAATATTAGCTAATGATAGTAAAGCATCATAATTACCAAGAAACATTTTATTTTATCCTTTTAAATTTCTAATTTTATACATTACAGAATGTACAATGTATTAGTTTGAACCATATGAAATTGGTGATGCTCAATTTATTCTGCTTTTTAAAATTGTCAAATTCTTATGATATAACCTATGTATTAGCACAATATATTCCCTATGGTGGATTTAAAATCAACACACAACTCGATACACACTCTGGAGGTATAAACACAGGCAGTAAAACCTGGTTGTTAAGGGCACATATCAGAGCCAGATTGCTTTTGTTTAGAACCTGGCTTCACCACTTAATAGCTGAATAAAATAAACTTGGGCAAATCACTTAATTTCTTTGGATCTCAGTTTCCTTATGTATAAAATAATAACATCACATATCATTGAATCTAAGATGCCACATTGACAGATACCTTCAGACTTCAAAGATATAAAATGTAAAAAATATGCATCTTAGACATGATGAAGCCCAATTTCAGTTAAGGTCTTGAATGTATAAAAGGACACTTCATTTTCCCTGCTATTAGGTTCAATGATCAAAGGAAAACAACATTTTCATTGGAAAGTCAGATGCCTGAAAATTTGGTATTTAAACTAAAAAACAAGAAAGGTGCAATAATATCCACACTCAAAGTGATAGTAATGATTAAGTTAATCCTAAACCAAACTCTTTCAAATTTCAGTTTTGAAATACTTCACCTTTAAAATGCCACGGTGAGTCAACTCCCGGTGGGGAAGCTATGTTACCAGGGTTGCAATGATGGGAAGAGAAGCCTGAAAGTGTTACTGTGAAATCATTTGCATATGGAGGTGACTAGAAGCTCTGCTCCTTGAATTATATAGCTGATGTGACCTGGACTCTAAACTTCTACTGGGGGCACTGCCTCAATTGAAACTTGGTGGCTGCTCAATTCAACCCCCAAGACCACTGTATGACAACAAGATGAATGGGGAGTAGGATGCCAATTTATTAATTTATAATACAAAATAAAAGGGTCAAACAAATCAGATGTTGGTTATGTGCATTACTCCACCAGGGACCTCTCCCTGGAGAAACCATCAGAGCCAGAGATTTCCCACTGTGTCAAACCATAGGAAAGGAAATTGCAGCTCCATCAGGGACATTACAGAGCCCGGGTGAACTGGAAGAACGCCCTTCCTCACTACAGAGACAGCTGTCCCACTCTCTACACACTCCTTACTGGCTAATGAGAGACCTTTTCTAGAAGCAGAAACTTACCTTCTATACTTCTTTCTACCTTACTTGCCAGGCTTTATGCTCTTCGTCCCCACCACAGATCCAGCAATGCTGGCTGTTTCTAGAGTTAAGTCTTGATAATTTCCTTCATGCATTGAAACACAGTAAGTGCCTGACATTTGCTGATGGATTGAAGAGAAGTTAAAAACCCCAACTTAGAATCTCACTATTCTATTTTCACAAATATGACTTTTCTGGAGAAGCATATGGTAAAATACAATTAAAATTAAATCTACTTCACAACACAAGTGACATTTTCTTAACAGCAATAGCATTAATTGAGCCAGAATCAAAGACCCAGTAATACAACATAAAATAGATGTATTTCTCCTAATTCTTATATAATTTTGGTTTTGATGTTATAATGATCAGTTATCCTTTTATGATAAATTCAAGCTTTTCTACTTATTTACCTTCAGATTGATGGTAGTTATCCCAGGAATAACAAGACCAAGTGATGATGATTTAATTCTAGTCACATATTAAAAGGTGAAAAAGAGTCCTGCCCATGTGGTTGAGTGTTGACCATGCACCAAGAGGTCGCCAGTTCGATTCCTGGTCAGGGCACATGCCCAGGTAGTGGGCCAAATTCCCAGTGGGGGGTATGCAGGAGGTGGAAAATCAATGTTCTCTCTCATCGATGTTTCTCTCTCTCTCTCCCTCTCCCTTCCTCTCTCTCTAAAATCAATAAAGAAAAAAAATAAGGTGAAAAAAGGAGGCAGATAATTTCAAAACTGTAAGTAAAGAGGGAAGATTTCAGCTTAAGATCAGAAAGTAATTTCAATAGGGGTGTCATTGTGGGAAGCATGTGAGCAGAAGACCCTTTGGGGGAATTTCTGTTCCTTGGGAGTTTAAGTTAGCTGCTCTTGCCTGGGATCCTTTCAGCTCTCAATTCTAAGAACCTTAGCAGTGAGCAGAGGTGGTCAGTTAAGGTGTTTTCCTTTACTTAGCTAGCAGCCATTCAAACTTTGAACCCAGATGACCTGATGACATATATGTGGTTCAGAACCCAGGGATCTGTCACTTACAGTTCCTCTTTAACATTCTAAGATAACATTGGTATAGATTTTCAAGATGAACGCCTAGTGAGCATCGTTTATACCATCTCTAAGGAAGAACAGTATCCTCTATACTTGATACTAATTATATTTTGCTTTCATAAATTGACTTTAAGTTTTTAAAACATGAACCTTATAGTGAGGTTTGCCTTTTTTTTTAAATCCTTACTGAGGATAATTTTCCATTGCTTTTTAGATAGAGTGGAATGGAGAAAGGGAGGGAGAGAGAGAAGAAGGAAGAAACATCAATGTGAGAGAGACACATTGATTGGTTGCCTCCTGCACGACCCTCACCAGGGCCTGGAATCAAACCTGCAACCCAGGTACATGCCCCTGACTGGTAATCAAACCCAAGACCCTTTGGTCTGTGGGCCAGCACTCTAACCACTGAGCCAAACCGGCCTGGGCTAGTGAGGTTTGCTTTTAATATGTTTATTTGAGTTTGACATAGTTTAAAAGGAAGGGAAATGCAGGCAGACCTAATAAAATAAAAATAGTTGTTGGACAAAAACAACAACAATAACAAATCCCAGAGGGAACACACAAATAGTGGTTACCTGGTTATCTTCACATGCCATGGAAGATGGTGGTGAAGGGAGTAGGGACACTTTTATAATTCATTTTATTTCCTTCCATAGTATCTGAATTATTTGCAAGTACAAGTATTACTTTTCTAATAATAAAATAAAAACTGATAATTCATTTTTGGGAAAACTGAACATTCTGTAGAACATGGCTCTGCCATGTTTGGCTCTGGATTTATAGTGACTGTCAAGTAGGAGAGGCTCAAGAAATGCTCACTGGGCCCTGGCTAGTGTGGCTCAGTTGGTTGGAGCATTGTCCAAAGCACTGAAGGGTTGCCAGTTCGATTCCAGGGTACATGCCTAGGTTGCAGGTTTGATCCCCCATGGGAGCATGTGTGGGAGGCAACCAATTGATGTTTCTCTCTTTCTCTCTCTCTTCCTTCCCCTCTCTCACTAATCAGGAAAATATGTCCTTGGGTGAAGATTTTTTTTAAGAAAAAGAAATGCTAATTGGATGAGTGTATGAATGAACGAATGAACATATTGCTTCAGTGGAGAGTAAGAGTGGACTTCCAAGAAGTTCTCAACAGACATATGATTTAATAAAGGTTGAGCCTCTTAATCTATAATAATTCTTACCATTAACTTTTAAAGTAATCCGCTTGTAGTCGGCGCCACCGTAGCTGATCAAGCAGTAGTAAACCCCTGCATCCTGCAATTTCACATCTGTGATCTGAAGTGCAGCCTTTCCCAAAAAGAGCTGGTCTTTCAACAGATGGGCCCTCTGGCTGTAGCTACTGTGTTGAAACTTCGGGTCTTCCTCTCCATTTACAAACTGAATAACTTTCTTTCGCCCTTTTTCCCAGTAGACAACTAATGCAAACAGGTCTAACTGTGTTACTACTGGAAATTGGCATTCCATTGTCACATTGCTGCCATACTCTACCACATACAGGTCCTTAGGAACTGTGATAGTAAATGCTGGAAAAAAAAAAGACCAATCTTTAGAACACGAAAAATTCCTCAAAAAATTTACACAATGAGTACACAGTTTACAAACACTGTACCTGGTAACTTATGTGACAATTATGTTTAAGGACTTACTTCTCTAAAATATGTATTTTATCTGGTGGGTTTGACATGCATTTTGGGATGCTGTATCTCATCCCAGAGATAAAATAATAAAATGAGCTAAACAAGTTGTTGTCCCAAAATTCTTATATATACATTACTGTAGAAATATTATATGGTGACGGGGTACTTAAAACCTGAAAACTTTGTCTCATGTGGACATCCCCAGAATGTCCTTTGACTGGATACCTATTTGCTTTCTGCATAGTCTGAATGCTAGATTCCAATACAGTCATGCACTGCTTAATAATGAGGATACATTCTGAGAACTGCATTGCTAGGTGATTCTGCTGTTGTGCAAACATCATAGAGTGCACTTATACATACTTAGATAGAACAGCATTCTACACACCTAGGCTGAATGATACAGCCTAGTTACTGTACCAAACAGCATGACATTAAATTAAGCACAAGAGAAAATTATGTAATCAAGAGACATGGTAAACAAGATGTATAAGGCTGCTATTGGCCTAACATGGCATAATGTTTAGAAACAAACTTTTTTTTTAGAAAGAGTACACTCTAAAACAACAATAAAAAGTATTTCATAGTAAATACATAAACCAGCAACATAGTAATTTATTATCAGTATCAAATACTATGTATTCTATATAATTGTATGTGCTATACTTTTATACAACTGGCAGGCAGTCTGTTTATACCAATCTCACCACACACTTGAGTAATGTGTTGCATTGTGACATGATGGCTACAGTATTACTAGGTGATAGGAAGTTTTTAGCTCCATTATAATCTTAAGGGAACACCATGGTATATGCAATCAATCATTGACGAAAACATGTTCACGCAGCACATGACTGTAGCCTGAAACTCTTGATCAGCTGTCTGGCCAGAGGTAAATGGGTATAGAGATTTAGGAAGGGTCTTAGGATGATGCCAGTATTGTTGTTACCCAGACACTTTCCATAATTCTTCCTTAGAATATACTGTTCAGGGAAAAGCTAGGTTACCGAACAAGGTAGATAAAATGATCCTTCTCTTGCTGAAAACAAACAAATATTATAGGCCATTTCCTCAGATATTTTCAGTAAGTATACCTGAGAAATGGACAATGCATAATGGATAATGGATAATGAGTTAATTCTGTTTTCTTTCATTTGTCGATCTTGTCTAAATCTTTGTCCAATGATACAAGTTTATGAAACAAAGAAGTAAAAATAGAATGCCCTCTCTATTAAAAATTATATGCATTTAAATTATTTTAGTTTTTAACTTATGGTTAAAATATTTAAGATTTGGTGTCTCACCTTTCAACAAATGACAGTAGGCCATGACTGTAAAAAGTATCCTCATTTTTCTGAAATGACCTAATTATGGAAAACACAAAAAGGAAACTGCCTTACTCAATAATTAAATACCCAGACATTACAGGACCTAGTGGTTCTAACTGAAATAGTCTTCTGATAACCAGATAATAACAGATTTGTAAGTGCAGAAATGCAGCAGGGATTTAGAACTCAATACTGTCACTTACTATCCAGGAGCCACCTTGGCTGCTTTGGCTCAGTGGTTAGAGCATCGGCCTGTGGACCAGAGAGACCCGGGTTCAGTTCCCACTAAGGGCACGTACCTGGGTTGCAGTTTGTCCCCGGCACTGGTTGGGGTCGTGTGGGTGGCAACCACTTGATATGTCTCTCTCACATCAATGTTTCTCTCTCGTTCTCCCTCTCTCCCTCTAATGAAGATGAATGCAAAAATATCCTCGAGTGAGGATTAATATATATATATATCCCAGAGCCATCTAAAGCCAAATTTTAAAAAAGCTACAATTGCCCTGGCCGGTTTGGCTCAGCGGTTAGAGCGTCGGCCTGCGGTCCCGAGAGACCCGGGTTCGGTTCCCGCTAAGGGCATGTACCTCGGTTGCAGTTTGTCCCCGGCCCTGGTTGGTCGTGCAGGTGGCGACCACTCGATGTGTCCCTTTCACATCGATGTTTCTCTCTCTCTTCCTCTCTCCCCCTCCCACTCTACCTGAACAAAAAATGGAAAAATGTCCTCAGGTGAGGATAAAAAATAAATAAATAAAAATAAAAAAGCTACAATGAATGAAAAATTTTAAATTTAATTACAAGCCTCACAAAAAAATTACAATGTACACTCAAAAGAAGCCAAGAAGCAAATATTGCACCAAAATACTCTCCATTATTTCATGTTTTGTTTTGTTTTTTTCTTCAGTATAACATATCTAGAAATCCAAAGTTGCCCTTTGCAAAATGTCAAGGCTGGGAGAACCTGACTTCTATATCATCCAACCTCTTAATGCTTCTCATCCCACCTCTGCAGTAGCTGAATACTTTCATCATACCCTTTAACTAACTATTCAAGCCTTCCACATCACTACCCAACCAGCCATGCCAGTTCTCCCCCAAATGCTATCCTTCAAAATCTTCTCTTCTGCCCTTCACTTATTCGAGATAATAAATACTGTCCTTGCAATAAACTGATTCCACTAGTAGCAGGGAGAAACAGTTGGATTTGCCTAATTCATACTAAGATATGAATGACTCACAGCCATTCTTTCAGGGGTGTTTGCCTAGTGTTTTGCCATCATGCTTGAAATTCTCCCAATTCTTTCTCAGCAAACTTTGATTGAGCATCTCCTCTGTGCCAGGCACTATTTTAGGCACTGGGGATAAATTAGCAAACAGAAAAGAAGACTTACTCTCTTCTTGGAGTTTATACTCAAGTATGGAAGTAAATTTAAAAAATTGTACTGGATTTCATCCAAGCTGTTAATTTAATAAAACAATTTATCTCTTGTGTTATACATACATTTATACACTTTGAGAAGAAAGTCAGTTTTCCACCTTAGGGTGTCTTTGACCTCTGCATACATACAAGAACTCACAAATGATCAATTAATCAATGCTACACATATATAAGGTGGAAGATTAATGCTCCTAATATACACATAGCTCCTAAAAATCAATAAGAAAACTACCCACAACCCAACAGGAAAATGAACAAAAGGTTCTAATATACAGGTCAGAGAATATGACATTTAAACAAAGAATGCTCAACCTCACCAATTTAAAAAAAGTATAAAATTAAGACATGAGATACCATTTTTCACTTATTAGCTTGACCAAAATTACAAAAATTCCTAATATTTAGTGTTTTTGAGGATATGAACCTCTTACCCTCTAATAGTAGGGAGAATATAAAGCTGTGTAACCTTATGGAGGGCAATTTGGTAGTCTCTATTAAAAATGTAAATGTAGCCCTGGCCAGTTTGACTCAGCAGTTAGAGCGTCGGCCCGCGGACCAGAGAGTCCCGGGTTTAGTTCCCACTAAGGGCACATCCCATGGTTGCAGTTTGTCCCCAGTCCCTGTTGGGGTCATGTGGCAACCAGTCGATGTGTCTCTCTCACATCAATGTTTCTCTCTCTCTCTTCCTCCCTCTCTCCTTCCTGCTCCATCTGAAGATAAATGCAAAAATGTCTTCAGGTGAGGATTAAAAAAAAAAAGTAAATGTATATGTCATATGAGCTTTCACTTCCTCTTTTAGAAATATATCCTACAAAAACAAAAACAAACACATATAACAACATATGTAAAAGAATGCTTATATTAGCCCCAAACTGGGAATACCCTAGATAACCTATGTGGTCAAATAAATTTTTGTATAGTCATACAATGTAATACCATTAAGGACAGAATTAAATACATGTATATGTATTGATTGTGCAGAGATGTAGAAAGTAAGTTGCAGAACAGTATTTGTAGCAGATATCACTTTTTTTAAAAGCAAAATCTGTGTGTGTGTGTGTGTGTGTGTGTGTGTGTATTTAAATATAGATGTCCAGGGTAAGCCATATCAAGATGCTGACAGTTGTTATCTTTTGGAATGAAATTAGAGGAAGAATAGGTAGGTTTTCGCCTCTCTATAGTTTTTTTTTTTTTAACTTTATTTATTTTTTCATCACCATCTATCCCCTCTATGCCCTCTTTCACCTCCACCTCCCTCCCTCCACCCTCCCCAACCCCCGCAGTCATCACACTACTGTCCATGTCCATGAGTTCTCGCTTTTTCACTCAATCCTTCCACTCCCCCAACAACCCCCCACCCCACGCCACCCTAGCTGTCTGCCTGCTCTCTGTCTACTAGTTTGTCTCTATTTTGTTTGTTAATTCAGTTTGTTCATTAAATTCAACATGTGAGTGAAATCATACAATACTTGTCTTTCTCTGACTGGCTTATTTCACTTAATTAATGTTCTCCAGGTCCATACATATTTATAGTTTATTTGGTTGTTGTTAATCCTCACTCAAGGGTATTTTTTCCATTGATTTTCTTTTTCTTTTTTTTTTTTTTTATCCTCACCCGAGGACATTTTTCCTTTTCTGTTCAGATAGAGTGTGAGGAAGAGAGAGAGAGAGAGAGAAAAAAAAACATCGACGTGAAAGGGACACATCAAGTGGCTGCCACCCGCACGACCCAACCAGGGCCGGGGACAAACTGCAACGGAGGTACATGCCCATAGTGGGAATGAACCTGGGTCTCTCTGGACCGCAGGCCGACGCTCTAACTGCTGAGCCAAACTGGCCAGGACTTTTCCATTGATTTTTAAAAATATTTTCTTTTTGGAGACAGTGGAAGGGAGGGGGTAAGGTAGGGAGAGGGAAAGAGAGAAACATCAGTGTGAGAGAAACACATTGATTGGTTGCATCCTGTATGTGCCCCAACCAGGGCTGGGTATCAAATGTGCAACCCAGGTGCTGCCCTTGACCAGGAATCAAACCCAAAATCCTTTGGTCTGTGGGCCAACGCTCTAACCACTAAACCACACTGGCCAGGGCCATGCTTATAGTTTTTTTAAAAAAAGAAAGGACAGAAGAAAAGAAAGAAACAAACAGAAAGGCAGGGGAGATAAAATTGTGAAAGATTTCTTTAGAGTTTTTCAAATAAATGGTTATGTTTTACTTTTATTCTCAGTAAAAAAAATAAAAACAAAATTTAATAAACTATTTCACCTTGCCAAGCTGCAGAGTATTTGGCAGAGAGAGTAGTATAATGAAAAGAACCCCACTGACCAGAGTGGCTCAGTTGGTCGAACGTCATCCCGTGCACCAAAAGTTTTCCGGTCAATTCCCGATCAGGTTGCAATCTTTCTGGGAAAAAAATTTCATTTTATTTATTTATTATTAAAGTTATTTGGGTGAAACTGGTTAATAAAATTATATAGGTTTCAGGTGTACAGTTCTACAACACATCATCTATATATTGTATTGTGTTCATCACCCCAAGTCAAGTCTCCTTCCATCACCATTTAATCAAAAGGCCTTTAAAATATTCCGACTCTTTGACTAAGTACTTATGCTTCCAAGAGTTTACCTGAAGAAATAATCAGCCATGCCCCAGAGAACAAAAGTGTCCAGTGAATGGCTAAAACAGTAAATCACTGTAACTAAATAATCTTTATGCACAACATGGGGGATTATTTCTGTTTGGTTATCTAACACCATGGAATATAGCCATTTAAAAAATCACATTTAGGAAAGGGAACTCACTATATGGGAGAGCATAATTGCCAATGATACATCAGAAAAGGTACTCATACATATATAGGGTACTCATACAACTCAACAAAAGGAAGACAAAGAACCCATTTTAAAAATGGGCAGAGAACCTAAAGAGACACCTCTCCAAAAAGGACATACAAATGGCCAAAAGATATATGAAAAAATGTTCAACATCATTAATCATCAGAGAGATGCAAATTAAAACAACAATGAGGTATCACCTCACACTTGTCAGAATGACTGTCATCAACAAATTATCAAACAGTGCTGGCGAGGGTGTGGAGAAAAGGGGACTCTAGTACATTGCTAGTGGGAATGCAGACTGGTGCAGCCACTATGGAAAACAATATGGTGTTACCTCAAAAAGTTAAAAATGGAACTTCCATTTGACCCAGTGATCCCACTTCTAGGAATATACCCTAAGAAGCCTGAAACACCAATCAGAAAGAATATATGTACCCCTATGTTCACAGCAGCACTATTTACAATTGCTAAGATCTGGAAACAGCCCAAGTGTCCATCAACAGATGAGTGGATAAAAAAGCAGTGGTACATATACATAATGGAATACTATGCAGCTGTAAGAAAGATCTCTTATCCTTTGAAACAACATGGAGGGACCTGGAGAGTATTATCCTAAGCGAAACAAGCCAATCAGAGAAAGACAAATATCACATGATCTCACTTATTTGAGGAATATAATGAACAAAACAAACAAACAAAATAGATTCAGAGACACAGAAGTAGGGTACAGACTGACAAACCTCAGAAGAGGGGATGGGGGGGGATTAACCACAGAATTTATATGCATGTATACAGAACCATGGACATAGACAACAATGCTGGGGATGGGGTGGGGGTTGGGGGACCAGGAGGAGGGTATTAATGGGGGGAAAAGGAGAAACATCTGTAACAAAAATAAATTAATAAAACTTTTTAAAAAATAAATAAATAATTTAGAAGGCTATTTAAGCCATAGAAAATCATCCACAGTTGTTTATATTTTCATTTTAGGTGCAAAAAAACAAGGTGGAACAATGGTACTTAGAGTACTCCCTGTGTTATAAGACAAACCCAAACTACTTTTACATAAGCCAAGGTCCTTATGTCTAGGAAATGTTTTACCCCCATCCTCTCCCCCTGCCCTGCCCCTAGGCTCCTTTCAGGATTTCTTTAGGTCCCCAGAGCAGACAGGGCAAAGAACTCAGGCTGTAGTATCCTGAGTCTTACACAGCAGGAAAGGACCTTAGGAGGTGCTGCCTGTGTGCTGACTTACCCACAGCATGCTGCTAGTGAGTGGCTGAGGATGGACCTGGACCCAGGTGATCCAACCCCCAGCCTAGAAATTTCCCTCTAGAGTCTAGACCCTCTACCGACCTCAGGACCATATTTATGAACATACAGAAATATGTACTTACAAGATGACATTAAGCAAAACAGGATTCCGCCTAGAGAAAGGCCAAACGCGTTACCTTGTTCTGATTAACCTTGACAAGTGGGCTCTAGTGCCCGCTCCCCACTCTCAACCATCGAGCTTCCCTTTTCCCTTATCCTCTCTCCTCAAAGAAGGGGGACTAGAGGCCGTACATTCTTCAAGTGCCGGCGAGACAGACAGGGACTCCGGCCGGGGGGCCCCTCGCGGGGAGAACGCTCCCTACCTGCGGGACGCCGCGCCGGGACTCTAGCGGAGCCCGCGGAGGTCGGCAGGCTAATGAAGCTCCCAGAGAGGAAGAGGTTAAGTCCCCGCCCTGCCCCGCCAGAGTTCCCACCGCTGTCTTCCAGGCCAAAGAGCGGATTCTATGCTCCTGGAAGAGAAGATATATTTACATGAAACCAATAGTGAAACTTACCACCGAGGTTTCCCAGAAATCATCTTCTTTCTGAAAAGGAAAGCTTCAGGAATAATACAGTCAGCATCCGATGTTTTAAAAGAAGATTTATAACAAACCGGCTCCTGAAATCATCACAAAGATTTCAGATGTTGCTTTCACAGAATTCGGACACCTTAAATTCTGCCATCAGGTTCTCCACTTAATTCTGCAACATACAGCAAGTAAAAGGCAGGCCAATATGGCTTTGCTTTTTATTGTGGAAGGTGGGCGTGTGTATATAATAGGAAATACATTTTTAAACGGTGTCTTGTGATACTTCCTCAGAGTTCCTCGACATAATGAAACTTCAATTGCCTCGTCATTAAAAGAACTTCCCATCATGAGTTACGATTTGTAAGAATGCTCTGGACCACTGTTCTCTTGCTATTGAGGCTGGGATAGCATATTCTAGGTGAGTATTAAGAAGATCCTTCTGGTAAGGATCAGATGAGCCCAACTGAAACATGTGACTCACACTGAGGGTAGTGGCATAATTTACTTAAGCAGTAACCACTAGTAGACTTTTAGGTGCTTGCCTCTCTTTCTCTTTCCCTCCTTCTTCTTTCTTTCTTTGTAAACTTTGTAATTTTTAAATTGTTATGTTGAACTCTTCATTGTTTGTTTTTCCTTCTTATTCATTTCAACTGCAATGGAAAATACTATATAATGAATGAGTACTGAGATGTCCATTAACTTGGTTATGGCATTTCATTCCCAAGTAAGAATTTTTACAGTCTCAGAATAGCACATATTTATTTTTATTTTTAACTCGGATACTGCCTTAAAATCTTGTGGGGAGTTAGTTGGAACATCATTCTGTACACCAAAAGGTTGTGGGTTTGATCCCGTAAGGGTGCATAGGGGAGGCAACCAATTGATGGTTCTCTCTCACATTAATATCTCTCTCTCTCTCGCTCGCTCAAAAAAAAAAAAAAAAATCAATAAACATAACCTTGGGTGAGGATTTAAAAAAATCTGGTGAGAAATGTGAAATTCTCTTTAGCCTCAATAAAATCACAATAGACTTGGAGATTTAGCTCAAAATGCTCCCTCTTGCAAATCTCTTTTTGAGGCCACAGAGTGGAACGGAGCAGTGTTTTTCCAAATTTAGTTCTTCTGATATTTTTTATTTAATCTGTTTCAATGACCATCAAGACCCCAGAACATATATGTCATGACCTGCTAGTGTGGTCCTGCCTATCTGAAAAAACTGACTCCAGCGCCACCTACCAGTAACTGAGTAATTTTGGGCAAAGAATTTACTGAGTAGTCAGGATTAAGACATCTCCTCTTATATGGCCTCTATGATCTATGAACGGTTTTTAAAACACTTGGGGGAGCCCTGGCTGGGTAGCTCAGTTGGTTAGAGCATCCTCCTGATACACCTGCCAAGATTTTGAGCTTGATCTCCAGTCATGGCACCTAAAAGAATCAACCAATGAGTGCATAAATAAGTGGAACAACAAATCCACATTTCTCTTTTGATCTCTCAAATCAATAAATTAAAAAAAAAATAAAACTTTGGTGGGGTGTATTTAGTTTCTTTGCTTGTTTCTTTGACCCAAGCAATGTTCAGGGTATACATATGATCAATAAGAAAGACAGGAGGCAAATGAAACTGAGCTTTCCCTGAAGTTGTTAATGGAAATGGAATGTGTTGCTCATCTTGGGTGGCTCATTGATGTACATATTAGTCATCTGAGGGTTTGTGACCTTGTTCATCTCACCCACCTGTTTCCACCCTTCAGCCATTCACTTTCCCATACAGTTTATCAAGCTTCTTAGTGAAGTTTCTGATACACATACTCTGGAGATAGAAAAACAGAATATGTTTAGAAAAAGGATTTTATCACTTAAAAAATATATGAAAATCCAAACAGTGGGGCTGGGGGGCATTAATCCCCAAAATTTGTGTGGGTTTTGTGATTTGGGTGAAGTAGATGGAGAAGTGCTGAGATAGGAGAACAGACACCCTGATCATCTCCAGTATTGCCATTTCCCAGTCATGCCCCTCTTACTTTGTCTTTTTTAGGGGTACAATCTCATCACTGCTGATGTGCTGTTTCTGAGGGTCACTTGCATCACAGTTGACCTGAGTTGGGTGTTTAAATACAGACCTTGGGGCTTTAACACAGACGTGTTGAATCCAATTCTCTGGGAAGTTGTCCTGGGACTCTACGTTTCAACACCAACCTGCGGTGATTAATGTGCACACTGAAGTTTTAAATACTGATTGCATAATGTTCAAGGGGGGGGGAAATTGAACTAAGAGTTCTTGGCAAGAACAGTTATAACTCCTTTTCATCCATCTAATTCGGTTGATTGTTATCAATGCCACCCTTCACTCTACCTCTGCCATTCCACTTCCACTTTCACCCCTAAAACAAGAGAGGTGATCCTTTTCTGTCCTGATCTCAGGAGGAGGATAGATTCCAGGGTCTTACAATTAGGCCTGAAGTAATGCTAGCAATTTCCTGGTGAAGAAGCAATTTCCAGTAAACTTTTTTGATCACTAAAAACAAGATATAAAGATACTTTAAAAATACTGACAAACTGCTTTGTTTGCATTGACTATTTTTAAAAGTATTTTATATTCTATATAAAGACAATATCCAGGTTTGTTCCCGTGTTCTGTTTTTGATTGTGTAGGGTCGTAAACCACTATCCTATGTTATGCCTATTTCTATCTCTCTGTTGCCATCCACCGACTCCCACCTTCTGTTGCCTCCACCTTTGCCATCTATTTTAACCCCCACAGATTGGTGCTAAACAGACTTCATAGAGCAGAACACTTTGCCCTGGTCATACGACTGTTTAAAATACAGGAGTAGTTAACATGTGTGGATGGTCAGGGGTTAGCAACTGTCATCACTTGATATCCATGCTCAGATGCTTTATTTACACTGTATTTGCCTCCTTCCTTCCTATCCTGAGCTGGAAAAGAGCTCTTGCCTTCAAAAGGCGGCTCAATGCTGTGGGTATTTTTTTTTAAAAAATATGTTTCTTTGATTTTTTTAGAGAGAGAAGAAGGGAGAGAGAGACAGAAACATGGATATGAGAGAGAAACATCCATCCATTGGCTGCCTCCTGCACGCCCCCTACTGGGGATTGAGCCCACAACCCAGGCATGTGCTCTGACTGGGAACTGAACTAGGACCTCTCAGTCCATGGGATGACGCTCAATCCACTGAGCCACACTGGCTGGGCTGCTGTGTGTACTTTAAAACAACGATGAGGCCTCTAACAATGTCCCCTATCCTCAAGGGATTCCCAAACCCAGACACAAATAATTATGACTCGGATAAATGCTGTGAGAATTTGGGAACACTCTATGGTAAATCATTTAATTTCAAGGAATATCAATAAATTAATTGAAGGAGCTAAAAATAGAGTTTGTAATTTGGAGATACCCTTTCGGAGGATACAGGGAAACATTTTCTTGCTTTATCATCCTAGAACTAAGTAACCTAAGTGAATGGTGTAGAAATAAAAGTCCCTTTGTGAGTCACTTTCCTTGGTTTAAGGACATGAGTGAGGTCAATGTCTCTTGTGGAACTGCCTCCAGTGGTTTTCAACCAAGGACAGTATGAGTCCTAAATCTAAAAGTGTTCAAAACCCCTACTTAGAAGAGGACAATTGATTTTGTTTTCTGGTATGAATAAGTGGTTATTCAAAGACCCATTATAGTCACATCCAGACTAACAGGATGGTGAACCTAATTAATCTGCTATTTAGGACTACAGACCCATCCTAAAAAAATGAGTAGGTTTTTTTTTTTCTTTTCCCCACCTTTCCCTAAAAGGATAATAAGAAATATCCTTTCTGTTTCAAGAGAAAGAGATTCCAAACATAAACTAATAAACAGAAATTTCAGATACTGATAAGTCCTATTTAAAAGGGGGGGGGGGGCGGGTGACCCAATATGGCATAATGCCTGGATGTGAGGCTCCTTCAGTTATGGTGGCCAGGGAAGGCTTCTCTAAGAGGTGTTATTTGAGACATGAATTATGAAGACAACCATGCAAAGTTCTGCAGGAAGAGCATTAGCAGGAAGAGAGTGGTGGTGGATCTGATTATATGAAAGGCTTTGAAATCCAAGGGAGAAGGTTAGACTCTAATTGCAGTGGAATGCCACTGGATGAGTTAAAGCAGGGGAGTTACCTGATGGATTTTCTAAAAATGTCACTCTAACTGTGGTCTAAAGAATGGTGTGTACAGGAAGGGGCTAGCATGGAAGCTGGGAGGCCTTCAGGAACTGTTGATGTAAGCCACATTTTGGAATTAGAACTAACGGAACTTGTTGATGGATATTAGAAATAAGGGAGAAAAGGGAATCAAGGATGGTGTACAGGGTGGAGCAAAAGTAGGTTTACAGTCGTAAGTACACAAAACAGTTTATTCTTGTGTTATTACTTATTGTATTATTTTCCATATGAACTGTAAACCTACGTTTGCCACACCCTGTATATAATTTAATTTGTTGTTCCATATTAAAATCAAGATATATACATATATGAAATACACACACACATATCACGTATAATCCTCATTTGATTCATTTTTGTAAAGGGGGTAATTAATGCTTGCTATAATGACAAACATTTAACACAGTCAATGCATTATTTTTCATGTCTCCTTGAGGGCAAGAAGAAGATGGAGAGTTGGCATAGGGTGGAATAAATTCTAACACTGACACACTGTTCCCAGGTTTGCTTGGAAGAAATTTGATGGACCCTGCCATGCCAAGCTGTGTGGCACTTTCAGGGATGCTTGCCATAGAAGGAGAAGAAACAGAATGAAGATTGAGGTCAGGGTATGGCCTTTTTGTGTCCTGGGTGGCACAAACAGATGTTGTATCTTGTGAAGAGCTGTAAAGGCGAGGGGATATATAATAAGGTAGGTCATTTTATTCATCAGAGTTCAGGGGCTATTTTCCATTTTTTTAAAAAGTGATTCTGGGTAGGAGACCAGGCTGAATTTCTTAGGAGTGCAGGAGGCTAAGAGTCACAGGCTGAGAGGGTCATGTGAGTGGCATGGGTTATAGGAGGAGGAAGTTTACAGTGGGCTAGTCTAGTGGTATGGAGACCACGTGGTAGAGAAAGAAGAGAGATAATAAGCAGCTACTGTGGGTGAAAAAAAAAATGGAAAAGAGAAATACCTAAAGAAGGTTTTTAAGAATGTCCTGTTCAATATGCTGGGCAGAACATTTGCAGAGACTTCTTAAGAAGGCTTAAGTAATTTCTTCGATGCTTCAGCAGTCAATCTATGTTTTGAATGCTATTACATACTTGGACTGAATCATGTAAAGCCTCAGTTTTATTCAGGTTACTATGAAATATAATCACGCCCTGCTCAAAAAAGGCTTTTCTTGACTGTGCTGCTCTCTTAAATTATTGTCTTCTCTGATTACTCCATTTCAATGACACAACTCAACAAACTATAGCATTACTTTTTTTCACCTATCAAATTAACAAAACAAAATGCAATCAATAATTATAATAAAAATAAAAATAGCAGTAACAATAAAACATATAGCATTCTTTATATATCAGAACTTTGTATTGGTGATTTACATATACTAGCTCATTTAAATTTTACAACAATACTATGAGAAAGATACTATTATTGCCCCTGTTTTGGAAATGTGGATACTGAGGCACACAGTTTAAATAACTGGACTAAGCTTCCATAGCTAGAAGATGGCACAACTGAAATTTGAACCCAGGTACTCTAGCTCCAGTGTCTATGCTCCTAACTGCTATACAATGCGTGTGGTAAATTTAGTATTCTTATTCACACTTGGTGGCACTGTGAATTTTTTCAACCTCAAAAATTTAAATATGAGTTACCATATGACTTGGTAATTTTATTCCTACATATTCTCTTCTTTCAAAAGAATTGAAAACATGTACAAAAACTTATACACAGATGTTCATAGCAGCATTATTCATAATAGCAAAAAAGTGGGAACAATCCAAATTTCCATCAATTTTGAATGGATGAACAAAATGTGGTATACCCATACACTGAAATATTATTTATCCACAAAAAGAAATGAAGTACTAAAAAAATGCTACATCATGGATGAAACCTGAAAACCTTATGCTAAGTTAAAGAAGCCATAGACAAAAGGTCATATATTATATGATTCCATTTATATGAACTGTGTAGAATAGGCAAATCTATTGAGACAGAAAACAGATTAGGGGTTGCCAGAGCTAGAGGAAGGGGGAGAATGGGGAGTGACTGGTAATGGTATGGGGTTTATTTTTGGGGTGATGAAAATGGTATGGAATTAGATAGTGATGATGGTTGTACAACCTTTTAAATATACTAAAATTTTCTAAAATGTATGCTTAAAATGGTGAATTTTATGGTATGTGAATTATATCTCAATTGAAACTTTTCAAGGTAGGGAGAGAACAAGATCTCTAGTCCACTGTTACTATTATATTATACTGCCACTTGGTGTCACTGTTGAGGAGTGGGACAAATCCAGACAAGGTTTGTACAAAGCTCTGTAATACTCTGCTGGTTCAGATCATGTTCAGGCTACAGGTGTGTCCCATGATTGAAGTGTAAGGTTAAAATTCAGACCATGTTCCCCAGAGCATGAGAAACACTATTCCAGAGAAGACGGAAGATCTTCTAGCCTCAGCCTCACACACTGTGAACTACTTGCCCTCCATCACAGACTGCAGTTTTTGGCTAAACCCTGGTTCTCACATTAATGGAGAAATTCACACTTCTTGACAAAGCATCTCTATGAAAAAGACATACCTCTAAGCATGTCTTAAACTTTCAAAAACTTACCCTGGCTAGTTTTGCTCAGCGGTTACAGCATCAGCCTTCGAACCAAAGAGCCTTGGGTTTGATTCCCGGTCAAGGGCACACATCGCAGTTGCAGGTTTGATCCCTAGCCCTGGTCAGGGTCATGCGAGAAGGCAACCAGTCTATGTGTTTCTCTCACATCAGATGTTTCTCTCTGTCTCTCTCTGTCTTTCTCTCTCTCTTTCCCTCCCATTCTATCTGAAAAATCAATGGAAAAATATCCTCGAGAATTAAAAACCAAAACAAAACAAAAAAACCTTTGTTTTGTTTTAAAGTGCTTTATGGATATACAGGGAAATACTGAGTAATTTTCCTTTCCTGGGATAGGAGACTTTCAATGAGTTGAGGATTCTACATCAATTCTCTCTAAAATATTTATACTATTTAACTCAGTATTTCCTACACACACACACACACATATATATATGGTCATTATAATATTATTGACAATAGCAAAAAAACCCAGAAATATCCAACAACCGAAACTGTACACATACTTCCTGGAACTCTGACACCTTTTAAAATGGATTTAACTCAGTATTTCCTACACACACACACACACACACACACACACACACACACATATGGTCATTATAATATTGTTGACAATAGCAAAAAAAAAACAGAAATATCCAACAACCGAAACTGTATACATACTTCCTGGAACTCTGACACCTTTTAAAATGGTACATATGAATGCTCTTTAACATAAAAATCCTTATGCTATAATGCAAAATAATTTTTTTGTTGTTGTTCAGATAGAGTGGGGAGGAAGAGAGAGAAACATCGACGCAAAAGGGACACATCGAGTGGCTGCCACCCGCACAACCCAACCAGGGCCGGGGACACACCACAACCGAGGTATGTGCCCTTAGCGGGAACCACACCGGGGTCTCTTTGGACCGCAGGCCGATGCTCTACCACTGAGCCAAACTGGCCAGGGCTCCACCACTACTCTTTATACAAAGTACAGGGAAAGAGGGGCAGGGAAGTTCAACCCGTTAACATTTTATATGCAGAGTTATGTGTCTCTACATCTTGTTGTTAGGCTAAAAATTAGAATTTTGCAAAAATACTATGAATAAATACTATATTTATTCACTTATGTTTCCCTTGCCCTATGCACTACCTTGGTAGATCAGGATTTTTTACCTGGTGTGGCAATGCAACACTTTAATTTTTGCATGTTCTAAAATTTAAGTGGTCCTGACTTCATCAGGTTACTGCAGTTATCTAATGATCATTATTATTGCAGATGGGAGTATAAAGAAGTTCCCAGTGAATCCCTGGGTGGCATATACAGTTCCCCTTGCCTTCATTGTATAGCTGCAATCCAATTTCCTCTCAGTAATTGGGATCAGTCATCTCAATTCTATCACTGTGAGAAACCAAAATAATCAGGGGGCAATTTCAGCTTCCAATTCAATAAACCATGGCTGCGCCCTCTAGTAGTAGCATTTTTTTCCTTTGAAGTAGGACTTCCAAAATGATAAACCCAAGGTGGTAGGAGAGGTGTGCTGGATATTTTCCATTTGTCTCACTGACCTGTCTCCTTCATCTTCTGGCTTCTTGTCCACCCTCGACATTAAACCTATTCCACAAGTAGAATAGCCGTTAAAAATGTTTATAACTGAGGATTATATGTTTAAGTGACAACCTCTCACGAGATACATTCTCTTCCTGGAAACGGATCCAACGTGGTGGTTGAAACTATATCTGGAGAATAACGTAAGATAATCTCATTAAAGTGTATCAAGGCTTACTTGGCATGGCGCAGGAGCACGGATTCTCTTATACATGGGTTATTGACAAAGCTCACTGAAGCCTTTAAGTGAGACTGTCATTCTGCTTCCTCTGCCTCCCCTCAAAATCTGACAGCTCAGACACTACTGTTTGGAATTTGCCTCTTTGACCTGCCCTTTCCCGGCGCCAGGTGCAGAACTCAGTAGGCCTCGGTCATACGCGCGCGCCCTTTAAGGAAGTCAAGGGCTGCGCTGATTGGCTGAGGGTCGGAGTCCACTGTCAGCTTGCCAATCTGCGAGGCGAGGCCCGGTTCCTGCGGTGGTCTAGGGGACCCGAAGCCTGAGGCCCCTTCGGCGATCACCGCGTCTCGGCTCCTCCGCCGCCCTCTGCCCAGTGAGTTAGCGCCAGCCTTTCCGGACCAGGCCGGCCACGGGTGGGTGGAGAGCGCGGGTCCGCGGCTCCCGGCGCCGAGCTGCCGGCCGGGCGCGCAGGGCCGCGCCGCGCACGCTCCGTGGGAGCGCCCGCCCTCGGCTCGCGTCCCGCCCCTACTGGAAACGGGTATCTCCAACCTGGTTTCGGAAAGAATCCCTTTCTACCGTAATCCAGTTGGGAGAGTATACAGAGCGTTATCAACAGAAATGAGCCTACCATTCAGGAAATACCCAAGTTACAGTAAGGTCCATGAAGGGCGGGTGCAGTTAAATTAGGGAAAACCTTCCGGAAGCTGTGGGTTATGGGCTGGAATTTGCAGGGGAAGTGGAACGCAACGACTCATTGAAAATGATTGTACTTATGCAACCAGTCTATATGTAGGTAATGTGTAATTTGATCAGGAAGTGAGTCACTGCAGAAATTTGGATGACAGGTTGTGGATTATGGGATTATCTTTTTTTTTTTTTTTTTTAACAAGTAAAATCAAATCCAGGTTCCCAGGGGTGTCTGGAAGTCGCAGCCCCAACACTCCTCAAAAATGTCCCGTCTGCCCTGGCCGGTTTGGCTCAGTGGTTAGAGCATTGGCCTGTGGACCAGAGAGTCCCGGTTTCGGTTTCCGCTAAGGGCACGTGCCTTGGTTGCAGTTTGACCCCAACTGGGTTGGGGTCCTGTGGGTGGCAGCCACTCTCTCCTCGGTGTTTCTCTCTCTCCCTCCCTCTCTTCCTCCCGCTCTGTGTGAAAATAAATGCAAAAATGTCCTCATGTGAGGATGAAAAAAATGTCCCTTCGCATTGTAATCTATAGCACACTGAGACAGGGCTGGAGTATTAAACAGCCCTTTTTAAGGTCTCAGGAGTAATCAACGGAAAAAAGCAGGCATTAGGAACTCAAATCAGCATTCTCAGCCCTCTGAGACACACTGGTGTCTAAGTTTTAAGTATCAAGAAATTTGTCACCAATGATAGTTTTGGAATTTTTGAAAGACTTATACAGTTTAGTGAATTCAGTTATCCTTTTTGCAAGATCACTCTTCCTTATTTTCTTCTCTTTCCCCAGCTTTATTGAGAAATAACTGACATACATTACTGTATAAGTTTAAGGCACATAGCATGATGGATTTTGATTTACATATATTGTGAAGTGATCGCCACAATAGGTTCAGCTAACATCTATCATCTCATACAGATACAATGAAAAGAAAATAAAGAAGAAAAGAAAAACTTTTCTTCCTTGTGATGGGAACTATTAGGATTTATTCTCATAACAACTTTCCTATATATCATATATCAGTATGAACTATAGTCATCATTTTTCTAATGTATATTTTTTGAGAGGGACAGAGAAGATTGAGAGTATTCTGAACACTCTAAGAAACTTTCCAGACTTTGGAAAATGGCTTTGTTAGGGTGGGAAATGTTGAAAATACTGAACTCTAGGGTGCAGTTTGCAAGGTGTGGTGCACCCATTTTCAGGTGTGATCTCCCCTGAGGACCACGGGGAAGCCCATCTCCTGGCTTGGCTTCTAGCTTTAAACCTTGGAAGTGTAGACTAGCATCCAAACTACAATCTATGCCCAAGAAAGCAAGGCCCAGAAAAAGGTAAAACTAAATCCTAACTTTCCAGATAGTTTCTCTTCCCTAAATGGCTGACATGAGGACTCTCCCTGTACTTCAGGGAAGATCCCATTCCTTCATAAATAGGAGTACTGTAAGAGACACAGGTCTGTGACATTCTCTCTCTCTCTCTCTCTCTCTCTCTCTCCCTCTGTGTGTGTGTGTGTGTGTGTGTGTGTGTAGGAATGGATTAGAGCACAATTGTTTTCTTTATAAATGTTTGCAACGTATGTAAAAATTCAATTATACACTCCTATATGCAGAAGAAAAATAAGAAATGGCAAGTGACCTGGGCTACCCCTTTCTCTAGTACCACTCATTGCTTTCTGCAAACTCTGTGGGAAAGAGACACTATGGAGACTGCCAAGATGGATAATACATTGATTCTGCCTTCAGGCAAGTTCTGGTCTACTATTGGAAACAATTGGCATGGGGCTGTCAGAGTTTGTAGAAAGGAGAGAACTTATGCCATATAGCCCTACTCTCAGTGGGTGGTCTCCCAGCTCTGGTCACAGGATGGAGTGGAGCAGTGGCAGAGGGAAACCTCATAACCTCACAGGCCTATTCAAGGTGATGCCTCTTCTCTCTGGTGAGTGACTGGCCTCCTATTCCCAACATTAAAGCTGACTCTGGATCAGAAACCCCTGTAATTTCAGGGTGTGTCTCTGGCTAGAATACAGGAAAGCCACTGAAGACTGGCTTGCAGTTCCCACTCACCAGGAGCCCCTTTAGCAGGGATAACTCATTCCATTGGTGTGAAATGCTCTCCCTCCAAGATTTCCCCATAGGGATATGGAAAATAGGAACTCAGTGGCTTCTCACAGAATACTGTGAATCCTGGGTAGAAGCATTAATACTGACCACTCTGACCCGAGGTTCACAACCCTGCTCAACAGCCTACCAAAGAGAATCAGCAACATTGTTGAAGAGGGTAGAGCAATTGTAACATCCTTGAGCTTTGCATTCTGAAAGTAAAATCAATAACTGAAGGGCTTCTGTACCTACCCAATTGGATTAAGAACAAGAAATTGGAGTTCTGGCCTACCAAGAATTGACAACCCACTTAAGAACTTCTTAAGATAAATAAAATAGACAATATCATATATTCATTTAAAAATTGTGTTTCCCAGGACATTTAATTATCCTTATGTTTTCTTCCTTGAGAACTTCAGTAGTAGCTTGAAGAGAACAAAGGTGAAGTTAGAGGAGGATGGCTAAGGGATGTTAGTACTGGGTGGATGAAAATAGATGGTATGTAGGAGAGGGGCAGGGATTACAAGAAGAGTATTGATATAGTGAACTTTAAAAGGTCTGAGCCAGTGGGAGATCACATCTGCAACACAAGGCCAGTGTAGAGCAAAACAATTTTATTACATGCTCCTGGGGGCAGGCAGCTGAGCCTGAAAAGGAGTCAGCCCCAAATAACAGTTGAAGTGTAGGTTATATACTCTGCTTCTAGCTTCCAGCAGTTCTTGCTGATGTACTCTGCCTGGCCCATTGTCCACTTCACAGTTGGACTGGTCTGGTATCACGTCTTGCATCTGCTGGGTGATTTAGTGTCTTGCGAATAATCTGAGAATCCTTAACAGAAGGCTGAGCAAAGGTCAATCAAGCAACACGTTTTTCAGTTTCCGCCTTTTGCAAGCTTTTACCTTCACCCTTTAAAACATTACTAACCCTTTTAACCTTGAGATACTTCAAACTTCCTAAAACACAAATGCAAGGAGCACAGAAAAATCTGTTCTCAAAATGCATGATGCATCTTCTGAATCACCCTTCCTCAGAAACAAAGATTCTATCACCCAACTATACAGAACGTAAAAGGATAGATGGTATCCAACCTGTCCCTCACAATAAGACAAAGGGTTTTTTCTGTTTGTTTTTAAGTATTCAGTTCTTCAAGATTTACAGTGGGAAACAAAATCAGGAAACATGGAGCCACATACTTAGCAGATTTTGGAAGTCATCTAGTTCAATCAGCTGGTCTTTGTAAATGACAGTCAAACCAGTTAAGTTTGCCCATGATCAGACAGCTAGTTAGGAGCAAGGACTACAATCTACACTGTGTTCCCAGGTCAGAGTCTTTTCTTTGTTTTACATTGTCATAAGTTCACAATATCCCAAAGTAGAGCATATGAGGATGCATGTAGAATATAGTGTTTTAAACCTCTTTGCTTTTATTATATTTCAGGTCAAGATGGGGTTTATATTTTCAAAATCTATGAATGAAAACATGAAAAACCAACAGGAGTTCATGCTTATGAATGCTCGACTTCAGGTACATTTTTAAGTAATTAAGCTTTTATGTTGTTACAGTGGTTCAAGTTTCTAACATATGTGTTCCAGCAGTATGTTCTCTTTAACCCCAAAGGGTAAAATGCTCTTGGGGCTCCATCCTCAAAGCCAAGAAGAAATTGATTAATAATTATCTGGTGAATGAGCTTTTTAAAATCTCCAATTCAGATATTTGTGTAAAAATTCCCATGCTATAGGAAGAGGTAACTGCTTAGAATATAGGGTTGGCAGAATGATACCCCACCCCACAAAGCTGTCTGTATCCTGATCTCCTGTGATTATTTTTCCTTACATGTCAAAGGGACTTTGAAATGTGATTAAGTTAAGGAGCTAGAGATGGAGAAGATCCTGGATTATCCTGGATTATCTAGATGGGCCCAATATAATCACAAGGGTCCTTATAAGGAAAAGAAGGAGGCAAGAAGGCCAGAGAAGGGGGAGAGAGAGAGATTTGAAGATGCTACACTGCTGGATTTGAAGGTGGAGTAAAGGACCATGAGCCAAGGAACACAGACAGCTTCTAGAAAATGGAGAAGTCAAGGATACATTCTCCCCTGGAGCCTCCAGAGGAGCCTCCCACCAGCCCATTTTTGGACTTCTGACCTCCTGAACTGTAAAATAATAAATTTTTGTTGTTTTAAGCCATTAAATTTGATGATTTGTGAAACTAATACAGAGTATGAGAACTTTACACTGGATTTATACATAGGCTGGATAGAAAAGATCAAAGCAAAGTAGAAGATTGTTTAATTGCCTAATATAGGTTGTCAAAAAGTATTTTTAAATGTTGTATATCAAAATGAAGTGTTAAATGGTTTAGTGGAATTATCTTCCTAAGATTTCAAATAAAGATCTCTAGGCCTCTGATTCATTATGGCTCTGAGAGTAGAAGGTCCTTCTGTGAGGCAGTATACTGAATAGTTAAAAGTGAGGACTAAAGCCAGATTGTCTGGGTTTGAACCCCATCTCTGCCCCTAACTGTATGACTTATGCCCCAGTCTCCTAATCTGTAAGGTGGAGGTGAAAGTATTTCTTCATAGGGTTATTTTGAGGAGCAAAGATGGTAGTGTATAAAAAGTGTATAGAACAATGCCTCGAGTCATCATTTTTTATTTTTTTACGTTTATTCCTTTCTTTTCTTTAAATTAATTAATTTATTTTTGTTACAGATGTTTCTCCTTTTCACACCACTGATTCCGCCCTCCCGCTCACTCCCTGCCCTGTCCCCAGCTTTGTTGTCCATGTCCACTGTTCATGCATACATGCATATAAGTTCTGTGGTTTATCTCTCTCCCACAACCGCCTCTTCTGGGGATTGTCAGTCTGTACCCCACTTCCACGACTTTGGGACTACCCCATTCCTCAGACTGTTATGTTCATTATATTCCACAAATAAGTGAGATCATATGAAACTTGTCTTTCTCTGTTTGGCTTGTTTCGCTTAGGATAATACTTTACAGGTCCCTCCATGTCGTCTCAAAGGATAGAGATCTTTCTTTCTTACAGCTGCATAGTACTCCATTGTGTATATGTACCACTGCTTTTTTATTCATTCGTCTACTGCTGGACATTTGGGCTGTTTCCAGATCTTAGCTATTGTAAATAGTGCTGCTACAAACATGTACATATATTCTTTCTGATTGGTGTTTCAGGCTTCTTAGGGTATATTCCTAGAAGTGGGATCACTGGGTCAAATGGAAGTTCTATTTTTAATATTTTCAGGTAACACCATATTATTTTCCATAGTGGCTGCACCAGTCTGCATTCCCACCAGCAGTGGACTAGAGTCCCCTTTTCTCCACACCCTCATCAACACTTGTTGTTTGATCATTTGTTGATGGTGGCCATTCTGACAGGTGTGAGGTGATACCTCATTGTTGTTTTAATTTGCATCTCTCTGATGATTAGTGATGTTGAGCATTTCTTCATATGTCTCTTGGCCATTTGTATGTCCTGTTTGGAGAGGTGTCTGTTTAGTTCTTCTGCCCATTTCTTAATTGGGTTCTTTGTCTTCCTTTTGTTGAGTTGTATGAGCACTCTCTATATATTGGAAATTAACCCCTTATCTGATATATCATTGGCAGTTATGCTCTCCCATACAGTGGGTTGCCTTTTCATTTTGATGATTGTATCTTTTGCTGTGCAGAAGCGTTTGAGTTTGATGTAGTCCCATGTGTTCATTTTCTCCTTTGTTTCTGTTGCCTTAGGTGATGTATCAGTGAAAATTCTGCTGTGTATGATGTCTGAAATTTTGTTGCCTCATTTTCTTCTAGGATTTTTATGGATTCATGAGTCACATTTAAGTCTTTTATCTATTTTGAGTTTATTCTTCTGTATGGTGTAAGTTGATAGTCTAGTTTCATTTTTTTGCATGTAGCTGTCCAATTTTCCCAACGCGATTTATTAAAGAGGCTGTCCTTACTCCACTGTATGTTCTTGCCACCTTTGTCAAATATTAATTGAGCATATTGCCTTGGGTCCATTTCTGGGTTCTCTGTTCTGTTCCACTGGTCTATATGCCTGTTCTTGTGCCAAGTACCAGGCTGTTTTGATTACAGTAGCTTTGTAGTATAACCTGAAATCTGATAATGTGATCCCTCCAACTTTGTTCTTTTTCAAGATTGCTGTGGCTATTAGGGGTCTTTTTTGGTTCCATATGAACTTTTGAAGTATTTTTTCTAGTTCTGTGAAGTATATCATTGTTATTTTGTTGGGGATTGCATTGAACAACATATAGATTGCTCTGGGTAGTATGGACATTTTAGTGATGTTAATTATTCCATTCCATGAACAAGGTACATGCTTCCACTTTTTTATATCTTCCTCTATTTCTTTTTCCAATGTCCTGTAGTTTTCTGCAAATAGGTCCTTTATGTCTTTGGCTAAGTTTATTCCTAGGTATCTTAATTTTTTTGCCGCGATGGTAAATGGATTTTTTTTAGTTTCTCTTTCCGTGAGTTCATCATTGGTGTATAAGAATGCCATCAATTTTGTGACGTTAATTTTGTATCCTGCTACTTTGCCAAATTCATTTATTATGTCTAGTACATTTCTGATGGAGTCTCTGGGCTTTTCTATGTATAGTATCATGTCATCTGCAAATAATGACAGTTTCACTTCCTCCTTTCCCATTTGGATCCCTTTTATTTTTTCTTCCTGTCTGATTGCTGTGGCTAAGACTTCCAGGACTATGTTAAATAAGAGTGGCAAAAGTGGGCATCCCTGTCTCATTCCTGTTCTTAAGGGAAATGCTATTAGTTTTTGTCCATTGAGTATGATGTTGGCTGTACGTCTTTCATATATGGCCTTTATTATGTCGAGATATGATCCCTCTATTTCAAGATTGCTGAGCGTTTTTATCAGAAATGGGTGCTGGATATTGTCAAATGCTTTTTCAGTGTCTATTGATATGATCATATGATTTTTATCTTTCATTTTGTTTGTGTGGTGTGTCATATTTATTGATTTGCAAATATTGTGCCAGCCTTGCATCCCTGGGATGAATCCCACTTGGTCATGGTGAATAATATTTTTGATGTATTGCTGGATTCGTTTTGCTAGTATTTTGTTCAGGATTTTGGCATCTATGTTCATCAGGGATATTGACCTGTAGTTTTCTTTCTTTGTAGTGTCTTTTTCTGGTTTTGGAATTAGAATTATTCTGGCCCCATAAAATGAGTTTGGAAGTCTTCCTTCTTCTTGAATTTTTTGAAATCGTTTGAGGAGAATGGGTATTAGTTCTTTTTTGAATGTTCGGTAAAATTCCCTCGTGAAACCATCCGGGCCTGGGCTTTTGTTTGCTGGGAGAGTCTTGATTACATCTTCAATTTCTTTTGTTGTTATTGGTTTCAAGTTTTCAGTCTCTTCCCAGTCTAGTTTTGGGGGACTATGTGTTTCTAGAAATTTGTTGCTATACAATTGTTCATAATATTTGTTAACAATCCTTTGTATTTCTGTAGTGTCAGTTATTATTCCTCCTCTTTCATTTCTGATTTTGTGTATTTGGGTTCTCTCTTGGTTTCTTGGTGAATCTAGCTAAGGGTCCATCTATCTTGTTTATCTTTTCGTAAAACCAGCTCTTTGTTTCATTGATCCTTTGAATTGTTTTTTTGGTCTCTATGTCATTTATTTCTGCTCTAATCTTTACTATTTCCTTCCTTCTACTTGCTCTGGGGTTTTCTTTTTGTTTGCTCTCTAGTTCTTTAAGTTGTGAGGTTAGACAGTCAATTAGAAATTTTTCTTGCTTCTTGAGGTAGGCCTGTAGTTCTATGAACTTCCCTCTCAGAACTGTTTTTGCTGCGTCCCATAGATTTTGTGTTGTTGTGTGTTCATTTTCATTGGTTTCCAGGAAGTTTTTAACTTCTTCCTTGATCTCCTCAGTAACCCATTCATTGTTCGAAAACATGCTATTTAGCTTCCATGTGTTCAAATGTCTTTGCATGTTCTTGTTGCAATTCATTTCTAGTTGTATGCCATTGTGATCTGAGAAGATGCTTGATATGATTTTAATCTTCTTGGACTTGTAGAGACTTAGTTTGTATCCTAACATGTGGTCTATCTTTGGGAATGTCCCATGTGCACTTGAGAAGAATGTGAATTCTGCAGCTTTGGGGTGTAATTCTCTGTAGATATCTATGAAATCCATTTGATCTAGCGCTTCATTTAGAGTCTGTGTTTCCTTGTTAATTTTTTGTCTAGAAGATCTATCCAGTGATGTCAGCGGGGTGTTGAAGTCTCCTGCTATGATTGTATTGCTGTTGATTTCTCCTTTGAAGTCCTCCAAAAGATTTTTTTTTTTTTTTATCCTCACCCGAGGACATTTTTCCATTTTTTGCTCAGGTAGAGTGGGAGGGAGAGAGAGAAACATCAATGTGAAAGGGACACATCGAGTGGCTGCCACCCGCACAACCGACCAGGGCCGGGGACAAACTGCAACCGAGGTACGCGCCCTTAGCGGGAACCGAACCCGGGTCTCTCAGGACC